CAACCCCCCCAGCAGCCAGGATGCAGTGACACAGCTGAAGATCTAGGAAGGAGAGGGCAGCACAGTGCGCTTTCTACATGGGTTATTTGGAACTGGAATAGTATATACAGAGAAATGGGGTCCTACACAGCCTTGTACATGCTCAAAACTAAACAGAAATAAAAAGTGGAAGTCCTTTGAATTCTGCCTTTTATGGTTAGCAGTTATTGGAGGAAAGTCCATTTTAGTGCATCTGAAGAAACCCCAACTTTCTTTTAGACTCTTTTGGTTTAAAAACAAAAGAAATTAGTCCTATTAATGTGTCTGTATTTCTACTTCATGTACATTAAAAAAAGAACTTTACATTAAAGGGTGTCCCTTTTTGTATTGGGTGACATGCCAGCAGTGTAGCCAAAAAGAATGTAATTGGATTATGCACTATTAAACAGCAAAATCCTGCTGCCTGCATCCTACTATGGTGTTTGGACTGTTTCACTCCTATAAAACAGGCCGATTCCCTTCTTTTCCCACACTAGATCAAAAGTGTGGCTATTCCTATAAAATGGGTCTCAAACATAGTGGGAGAATCAGAGAAAGCATCACTGACTCCCCCAGAGCGCGGCACATTCAGCACCTTCCTACCCCACACCAGGAATGGAAGAGCGACAAGGACACCACAGGGTTCTCGTCAAGTCACTTAAAACGTACACTTTATCTTCCAAGATTACCTAAGTAACGAGATTAAGAGGCAGACCACCGGAAACAGCTGCTTTTGAGCTCAGCCTGACTCAAAGGCTCAGAACCAAGACCCTCAGCATTTCGAAGTACACACTAAAGCAGAGTTTGGGATCTCAGAGTTGTGGCTGACTTGCAGTTCACCAGAAGAGCCTGCGACCATTTTCTTGTCCTGACAGACCATTAACCACCCCATCCTCCTCATGGCTGCATAAGGGATACAACAGTTCTCTCTTGAGATGCTTCCAGTAGTTCAGAGTGACAGAACATGTGTGCATGCATGCACATGTGCGTGCACATGCATGTCTGGGTGGTGAATGGGATCATTTTTAAATTACATTATATTTTCAGCATGAAACATACAATTTCAATTAACTCATCTACAAAAACACCAATGTGAATAGTTTATTGTTTACATATAGCTCCAAATTTTACTGAGGGCGAGGGAGTCAGGGAAAATGAAAGATTAAAAATTTTTCCTGACTTGCAAAAATAAAGAGCTTCATTTATCCTCTGTGTCCCCTTCCAAGTCTCCCAATAAGTGCCTCCTGCTAGAAGTAGGAAATGCTAGGTGGGGTTTAGAGGGAAGGGTTGTTACTCTTTGAGATGTCAAACATTTTACATGACTGCAGTGCTAGAAACTGCATACAGAGGGGCACAGGGGAGGGAAAAGGACATACATTTGAAAAAAAAAAAATTCGGAAAGATGGTTTTACTGTTACACATATTCTGTCCACATTATCAGCAAAGTAAGGCTCTTTTTAAATTATGAAAAGATTTTGTGCATGTTTTCCCCTCTAAAAAACACCTGTAAATGATTTTAGCTGTAAAATGTTTCAGGATTGTGAAGAAAACAAAAACGCAAAACAAAAAAAAAAAAATCCAAAAAATAAAGACCAGGCTTCCTAAAAAATAAAATAAACCAAAGAAAATCCCTCTAAATCTACAGCAATATTTTAACTGGAAAAAGGTCCATTTTCTCTGGTTCGTCAGTATAAAAGGTTCCTTTATTTATATATATTTCAGTTTTTAGGATGCAAGTTCATCTTGCTCATCTTCTCATGTATGGTCCATTGAGAGACTGCTTGGGCACCCCAGCAGCATTCATGTAGCTGTGATGGGAGGGGCCAGTGTACATCATGTTTCCATGAGGATTTGGCTGCATAGGCTGCTGGGTATAGGCCTGGCTCCCCATCATTCCCATCTGCATCTGCATAGGATACTGTGCTGTCTGGTTCATGTAGGCAGGGTTACTATGGTAACTGCTGTTCATCATAGGCTGTGTCATTCTGTAGCTGTTCATGGCGTTCAGGGTGTTCATATTCATGGAGTTGACGTTGTAAGGGGTGGTTGGCATTAGGTTGACTCCCATGTTCATACCCCGCTGAACAGCTAACGTACGAGGACCAGCCTGCATGGCAACTGCGGGCGGGCTGCGGCCGTAGAGCTGCTGCTGGTGTGCAGTTGCAGAGGGCAGTGGTGCTGATTTGGAGCGAATGGAAATGTGCCCCTTGACTGGCATTTGCCCCTGCAACCTCTGTGTATGTGGAATACCAATGTTGGTAGCAGACATGTTACACTGAAGCAGAGGTGACGTGAGGTTCATGGTGGTGGACGCCAGGTTTGGTGGGGGTGTCATAGTGGCTTGTGCTTGTGGTGTGCCTGCTAATGGATGAGAGGGAGCTAGCTGAGCCAGTCCTGTGTTGGACAGAGAAACGCTGGTTGCATAGGAAGTCACAGCAGGAGAATGGCTATAAGGCATGGCATGAGGGTCCATAATGGTGTTTGTCAGCTGCTGCAACTTGGCTAAACTGAACGTGGCTGATGGTTGTGAATAGCTCCCAGCACCAAAATCCCCCGGAATCCTCTCGTAGATACTTATGTTACCAGTGCTTCCCGATTCAGGTATTTCCATGATCATAGGTGCTGGGGTGAAGCTGTTGTTCATGCTACACTGGGACAGTGGAGGCTGCTGCTGGGGCGGAGGTGGGGGCTGTGGCTGCTGTGACTGAGGCTGCTGCTGTTGTGGCTGCGTTGTTGGTTGCTGGTTACTTGGAGGCCTTTCTACTACACAGCTCTGAGGTGACTTGATATTGCAGTTTGCTGCAGGCTGAACAGTGTTTTGCTGCATCATGCTGCAACTGCTGCCAATGTTTGCCATTTGCTGAGTGACAACACAACTGTTCTGAGTGAGGCTGCTAGAAGAGGACAGTCCTCCATATGAACAGCTGCTCTGGGAAGAGTTATTTCCACAAATGCTCCCTCCCATAGTGGAGTCATAGCTGCTGGGGTTTTCATAATTCTCTGTAGTGCTCTCAATGCTGCCAAGGTCACTGAAGCCACTATCCACCACCTGCTGAGAGTGGTCCGATACTGAAGGCACATCCATCATGGGACTGGTCTCCATGTTCTGCATAGAGGGTGCGGACAGGGATCCTTGCTCAGGACTTATCTGGGTGTAACTGTTCTCCAGAGCAGGCACATTTGGGCTGCTGACAGAACGTACAGACTGGCTGGGGTGGGACTGAACAGAGGATATTGGACTGTTGTGTTCTGAGGCCTGGCAATCTTCAACCATTGATATCTGAGGATCCTCCTCAGTCTGGGTGTAACTCTGCAAAGTCTGACAAGCTGCGAGAGTTTCTTCGCAGTCCTGGTACGCTACATCATGCTCGTTGCTTTCCTCCTGTGTCAGGGACTGGACTGCTTGAACAGTTTCAAGATCTAGTTCACTATGAGGAATCTCTTCCTCTTCCTTTAATTCAATTAACCCTTCTTTATTACTTTGCTCTTCTTCGTGATCATCTTCAGACCCAGGGACATGATCTGTGGCCAATGATGTCTCATTGGAAGCCTGCTCTTCCTCAGAATCTGCCTCTGCTTCATCTTTTTCTTTTGCATCGTCTCTACTGCTTGGTATGTTTGTTTCTAAAAAACATTCTTGCACCTGAGGCTCCTCCTTCACCCCTTCTCTAACAGGCTGTTCCTCCAATTCTTTTTTCTTCACAGACTCCAGATGACCGTCATCTTCGTCATCAGCATCATGATCTTCATTTTCATTTGTCACTACTGCAACTTCCTCCTCTTCCTCATGGTCATGCTCAGGTTCATCTAGTTCTTGCTGTTCTTCTTCTGATTGCCTTTGCTCTTCTAAAATCCGTGGCTTCTCCTCTACCTCCTCTTCTATCTCAGGCTCTTTTACTTCTGGCACTGGACTGCTGTTGCTGTCCACAGGAGAAACTGCTCTTACTTCACTGCTGGCTATATCTTCTTCTTCTCCCTCTCCTACCTCTTCTGCTTCCATATTCACATCTTCCTCTTTCCTTTCCTCAATAAGAGGCAGCTCTTCCTTCTGCTCGACGCTTTCTTCTTTATCTGAAATTTTGGGCTTACGCCCTAGTTTTGAATTAGCTACCACTGCATCAACTCCTTCATCCTCAACTGATGGTGGCACCTTTTCCCGGTTCGGTTTAAAACCTGGTTTTCGACCAGGTCTTTTCTTCCAGTGGACTGGTTTTCGGCTTTTCCCTTTTGGCCATCCCTTCTTCTTTTTCATGGGTGTAGAAGTATCTGGCTCAAGTGAAGAATCCTTTGCTTCACATTTTCTCAGCATAGATAATGGTTTCAAAGTTGGGTTACCTGAAAACACAAATTGAAAGATACTGTTCAAGCATTTTTTGTTTGACCTGAGCATTTACGGAAGCTTTCCCAAGCATTCCCATCATGTTTATCAACTTCATATATCAACACTAGCTTAGAGATTTATTGTGAAGGGTATGAAGAGGGATCAAGGTCTGCTCATTACCAATCACATTGCACATTACATTTTCAAAGAACACCGATGCTTTCAAGATTTTGCATGGTCAAAGCTCCGAGCCTTTAATGCACAATTCAAATTAAACACTAGGCTATACGATAAAGTCCTGGAAAGACTCACCACCCTTACAAATGTTATTTATACAGTATATTCACCAATGAAAATGTTCCAGTGCAGGGGAACACATGGGAGTTGCAATAAAAGCATGTTTCTATTTAGATCTGTATTTTGTGCATTTGCTGAAGAAAGGACATTTTCCCACTTTTTTCATGGCTAATTGGCTAGAATTTTTTTTTTTTTTTTAACATGAGAAATCATTAAAAGGAGGCTGAATTTCCCTCTCATCTGACTTTTATTTGATGAAGCAAATTCTGCATTTCAGTGACTTTCCAAACAGTAGAATAGGTTCAGAGCTTATGCAGCCAGAAAGGAATGCGATCATTTACTAAGAACTTACTGAATACTGTAAGGCATTCCTTGAATTAGTTTTGTTTTGAACCTGTCAATTAGGATACTCAGTGACAGTTTACCAACAGTCAGCTGGTAAACTACTGCAACAGTTAGTCATTGACGCTAGTTGATACTCACACTTTACCATCTGAATTTCTGTCTTCAGGCACTGAATTTGCTTTTGTATTAGTTTTCCTTTTATCTGCTAGGCAGAAAAATCTCTCTTAGCAAATAACAGTTTTCACCCAAGTAACTTGGAAATTTATCAAGTCACTCTTTTGCCTCTGCTTTCTTTTAATCTATCATTACAGAACATCTGTTCTAGTGTGTTAATCAGCCCACGACTGTTCTTTGAACTATTCCAGTTTATCAATACTACTATCAAGTGAGAATAACTGAGTAAAGATGGTTATAGTAGTTTCACCAAAGCTAAATAGAGATGACAGAATGTCTCTACTCCACTTGAGATTCCCTATAGATTTCATATGTTTAAGGATCATCTGAATCTCTTTGGCTTTGAGCTAGAAAACCATGCTGATCACTGGACATGACCTTCAAATACTCTCTCATAAACTTTGTCAGTGAATTGCCCTTCACTTCATTTACCAAATCTCCTCCTTTTCTGTCAGCTGCCACATTATTTTTTAATCTATCCATAAAATAGCAGTACAGGCAGACATACGACCCAGACCAATCTCCCTTAGAACAGAATAGACTAGTTCTGTTGGAAGGGACCCACAGTGATCATCTAGTCTAGCTGCCTTGCACCCCACTAATAACAAAGCTGCTTAATTACTCCTTGTTTGCAGCTTGATTTAATATGTATTAGCTTGATTCTGTAACATCTCAGCTTAAGCAGATGGTTTTGATGAAGTCAAATACTCCTCAAAACACCAAGTAGGTAACATCAATTACCCTTATTAACCAAGCTGTAGTCTTGTAAAAATATATCCTTGTCTGACAAACACATTTTTCACATACCAGTGTTCATTTGTATTGAGCAAATAACCCTCCCTGGACTTTCTACTGAGTAATAAGCCTACTATTTAAATCAGGATGAATGTCACACTGATGGGCCTGTAATTAGATTGGTCATCCCACTATATGGATATAAGATCCATTTCCCCCCCGATATTCAGAGTACATTTATTCACATTTCCGCCCTTTCTACCATCTTAAAAAAGGTTATTGATTCCACACTATGAATTTCCCAAGAAAATCTGTTTTAAGTCCACAGTTATGCAACAAAGATAAAACTAAATAATGTGCTCCTAGTAGTTCACAAACACTTCTTAAAACCGAATCATAGGTCAGCAGTTACTCTTGCTTGCCCTTTGCTCAGACAGGCATTTACTCCGAGTACCTCCGATGAGAAGCATTCTGAAAAAAATTCTGGGTATTAAAAACTGAATTTAAAACAAATTCTGAATTCAAAATTCAACAACTCCTTGAAGTCAGCCATAAAACAAATATTTGGAATGTGAATAAAGAAAGGATCTGCCACAGTCAGCATATCATTGGGTGGGAAGAAGGAAACACTACTTTCATAGTATTTGTTAAAGCATTAACACTTACGCCCTAAAAAAAAAAAAAAAATCCACCTCTTTAAAAAAAAATTTAAATTAAAAAAATCACTATATCTCTTCCCCTTTTACATTTCTTATCTACTGCAGAGGATTAGATTTACCTCCTCTTAGGTAAAGAAGCTTTGCTATTACCTGTACTGTCATGGATTTAATATTTTTAGGAATACAAAAAAACCCCCACCCCTAAATGATCTTATGATAGCAGACTCCCCTTATAATAATGTAATTATTAAAGGTGTCCAGTCTGGGCTCCCCAGTACAAGACAGACATGGAGCTACTGGAGAGAGCCCAGCAAAAGGCCACTAAGATGCCTAAGAGACTGGAGCATATCTCTGATGAGGAAAGGCTGAGAGAGCTGAGACTAAAGAGAAAGCTCAGGGGGCGATCTTATCAATGTGTACCAATAGCTTAAAGGAGGCTGTAAAGAAGATGAAGCCAGGCTCTCTTCAGTGGTGCCCAGTGCCAGGACCAAAAGCAATGCGCACAAACTGAAACACAGGAGTTTCCATCTGGGCATCTGAACACATTTCTTTACTGTGACTAAGTACTGGAACAGGCTGCCCAGAGAGGTTGTGGAGTCTCCCTCCTTGGAGATATTCAAAAGCCATGTTGGCATGGTCCTGAGCAACCGGCTCTTGGGAGTCTTGCTTAAGCAGTGGGGCTGGACAAGATGACCTCTAGAGGTCCTTTCCAACCTCAAGGGACTGTGATTCTGTGAATTTTACCATATGCATTTGACACCGTCTTCGCAAAAGAATATGGATTTGATGACCACTCGAGATTCCACGTGCATCCTTTTTTACAATACTGAGAAACATTTATAAGTGCTCATTCAGTTGCACTTAGTTAAACATCAGTGTGCAAACAAGCTTGAACAGAAAATCCTTACAGTATTCACATTCACACTAAAACTTACGGGTAGAACTAGGAAAAGCAAAATAATACAGCCCAGCTTATTAGTGACCTCCATCTTCCCCCACGCAACACTAATCAAGTTGCACAGAATGCCTAACCCTTATTAAATACTGGCCTCAAATCACCACACCACACTATCCATTCTCACTGTAGCCCTGACAGCAATCAGAACCAATTCAAACTATCATCAGGCACTAAATTTAAGAGACTGCAATGTTACATTTCAGGGAAATCATAAAATACTTTCAGTACATTGCCTCACCTAGAGATTAAGTTCTCGAGGAAAAATCTAACCCAAACCACCCTTAGTCAGAAAGTTTAAAAAAAAAAAAAAAAAAGGGGGGGGGGGGGGAATTATAAGCAGGTTTCCTAACTCATGGTTATGATTAAAACAGTCAAACAGTCTAAATCTGAACCAAGCATTAATGACTGCAATTTCTGAATTGCCATAAGCCAGTGCTGCCCCTCCCAACCCAGCTTAATTTTTTATCAAAAAAGGCCAGCTGTTTATGATGACTGATTATCCCTGTGGGCTAACATGTTTAGGTACCTGAAAGTATATTGTATTTTCTCTATACTCATTACAGTTTTAATATGTATATGTAAAGGGACCTGCATTAAAGGCATAAGCAGCCAACAGATACTGTTTGATGTCAGGAGCAGCAATAACCTAAATTGGTGCGCTTACTACTTTATTCTGTCAGAGGTTCTGAAAAATTTGCAGAAGTTGAGAAGAAAAGCAACACAAAGGAACAGAAAGCACTACATTACAAGTGGAGAGTAAGAAAGTAAAGTATTTCTGAAGTAGATGAGCAAGAAATTTATCATTGTAGTATATAATGGGTGTGAGTTAAAACTTTCCAAAAACCATTTCTGATCCCTGGGCACTCACTAGACTATTTGTAGTCCGCAAAAGATGGCTAAAAACCACTGATGTATTTTATAAAGCAATATATGCATGTGGAATCTCTAAAGGGATCTGCATCTCCACCAGAAAAAATCCAGAAGAGCAGACATGAAAAAGACTGAAAACCACGTATCTAACAGATCTTCACCCAACTCTATAGTCTTATTAATGGTGCTGGAGTACCATAGAAGTTTCTTACATGAGTAATCTGATCACAATAGAGTTAGAAAACCAGTGGCATAAGCTGACTGTGCATATATTCCCACTAAGCAAACTTAATGCTGCATCAACACATTTGCACTAAATTTACATAGTTATATGCTGCTATAAGGATTTAAGGGTAAATGGATAGTATACATGGCTATAATCATACTGATGCTTTCAGTATTTAAGTACTTTTAAAGAAAAATTTTCCTCTGCTAACCGCAGGTTAGTTGAAAGCCATAAATTAATGAGTTCATGCCAGTAATGATTTTTTATTGTGGGAATAATGGCACCATACTTCTCTTTCACACAGTTCTTTGTTTTTATTTGGCTGACTGCCTTGCACTACGTAGACCATCAAGAGAACCGAACATGTAACGACCATAATGAAGATTACTAACGGAGCATCTGAATGACAGATGTTTCTTTTGAACTGTCAGTGCACTCTAAGTAACCAGTTCCAACCAAATAATTTTATTTTATGAACTGAAGGCTCAGAGAACATTAAGGAGATATGAGAAGCTGAGAGGCAGGACATGCAAAGTGATGAAGAACATGATCTCAAAAGAGACAATTTATTATTCCTCTGTGTTATGGAGAACTGAGAGCTCTCCAACTCATTTCTGTTTTATTTCCATAAGTGACCCTGCTGCACAGATTTTTTTCCACAATCACAGATACCAATTCCATTAGGAAGAGCTGAATCAAAAGGATACCCTGTGATCAGGTCATTGCTAATAAGACAGTTGAAAGCATGCACCACATTTTCATAAGACTAGGGAATGTTTGAGGCTGTTTTGACTGGTAATCTATGCCTAACCCTACCTTTTGGCTAGAAGTTACAAGACAAGGTAAGCAGCTTGTTCCATCATGAGCTAGTATCATCTGACACTCACACACTAGCTATATCAAACTTTCAACAGCATACCACCAAACATACCATTAGTGTCATCAGACTCCTCCTCATCTTTGGACTTCCTCTTAGAAGAGGGTCTATGCCTGAGTGTGTCTGGTGGGGCTAAGTGCCGAAAGTATCCACTGGGCAAAAGTTCACTCTCCTCCTCTTCATCTTCTTCCTCCTCTTCCTCCTCCTCAATCTCAAATGTAGGCTCTAATCGGGGCATTGGTCGTTCAGAGTCCGAGTCCTCAAATGGTTCATCCAGCACTTCTGTGGTCTCTGAGATTGTTTCAGTGACAACAGGTTTCTGAAAGTGGAAGGTGGGAGAAGACAGATTATCACGTGCAGTAGAAATAAAACACTAATAAATAGAAAACATGAACAGCAGAGTTCAACAGTCTAAGCAGGACCAGAGGGCTCCCTTCTGGAATCCAGATTTCACTAGAATTAGTGACTGGCATCAGTTAGACAGATGTCAAATACAATGCAAGACGACAGACTTCCATGAAGATTGCTAGATTGACATTTGTGTAATGGTATAAACCATTTAAACAGCTGAAGCTAACAGCCCATCCATAACAGCTGAAAGTTCAAAGAGTACAACATAGATGTGAATAGTTTAGAATAAGCTGCAAAGATGATATAGAACTTTTTAGTGCAGCATCCCACAAAGAGGGGATTTTCTTGGTCACGTTAACAGAATTCACATTTCTGTGGTAAAACATTCCAAAGACTTTATGCTGCGATTTTAGCTGTTTAAATAGCATTTGTGTTTTGCAAGCTTCTTTTAAAAGCAGGACCATATTTCTATTTTGTGTGACTGAGTAGAACTTTAATAACCAAGGTGGAAATATCAAAAGCACAAGGCAGAAGTTAGAATTAAAAAAACCCACAACCCACCTCTGATTCAACAAAACACACCACTACAGAACAGTAAAGCATCCTCCAGAGAGAGTTCTGGAACACCAAGCAGATGCTACCTGTACACTTACTACACACCCCATGAATTGCACAATCCTTCAGAAAGCACCAACATACTGACAAAATAGACTGCATGATATATTCAGAGATAACAAGAAATAAGGTACACACCTTTCGTTTTAATGTTGGCTTGGTGAGAACAGGTGGAGAGCTTGATCGAGGACTCACAGGCTCATCATCTTCCTCTTCACTACTCTCACTGTAACACCTTAGAAGAGCCCTATCGCTGTCACTGTAGCGGCAGGGTAATCTGTCGCTGTCCTCTGGGAATCTACACTTCAGCGGCTCTGTGTTCTTTTTCAACTGCCCTCTCCACCTCTCCATACCTTCACTGTACCGCCGACGGGGAATTCCAGATTTTTCACCTTTGCCATACTGTCCCTGGGAAACTGCAGATTTTTCCTCATCTTCAGCATACCTGCCCCTTGGGGCTGGAGACTTCTCCTCACATTCACCACATCTTCCTTGCAAGGCTGCTGACTTCTCCTCGCAGTCACTGCACCGGCCTCGTGAGGCTGCTGATTTCTCCTCACATTCACTGCATCGCCCACTGGGAACTACTGTTTTGTCCTCAATGGGCAATATTGGCTCCTTCTCACAAAAGGGATCCCGAAGTTTTTTGCCCTTGCGGTTCCATCGACCTCTTCGTGATGGCTGACTGTTTGCAGGAAGACTATCCAGCGGAAAAATGTGCTTGTTTGGCCGTGCAGAATTGGCTGGAGCAACAATGTCTGGTTTTTTTTCACTTTCTGTAGGTGAGTAAGGCTCTTGCTCTTTCTTCTCCCATGACACAGATTTTACCATCTGATTTAAATAAAAACAAATAGATTTCACATTTCCTATTTAAGCATCCATGTCTATCCTGAATTTGATTCCACAAAAGCTTTTGAGCAAGAAGTCAAAAAAGTTCAATAAGAATGACTCTTACGAATCTGAGAATAACAAAAGAATTGACCTTTACAAGATTCTAACAGTGCTAACTGCTATTCCTTTCCTCCCAGGTAATAATGTACCTCAATTAGCTTCAATTAATGACTTCAGTCAGCAGCAGCCACCCAGTGGCCTGCTGGAACGCAAACATCATCTTGCTACATTCAAACATAGTATTTGTGTAATTTTCAAGAAAAAAAATTGAGATAAACTTGAAGCTATTTTTCTGTTAAAATGCACAATTAGTTTAATGTAAATACAGTAACAGCACATAATTTGCCTCAGTATTCTAGTCAGTGCTCATCACCTGATGTGAGTGCACAACCCTTCAAGGACAGCAGCCCAGATTTCAGAAACCTCCAATGCTCTGTGGGCAGTAATTCTAAAGCTATCGGGGGTTTTGCAAAAGTACACAGCAAAAACCTTCGGTGAAAGATGTTAGATATTTTTCTTGATTCATTTCTATTTATGCTATTTGTCACTTACAGAAATACTGTGTCCTTCAAATGTGAATCCATTTCAATAATTTGGTAAGTGACCAGGTTGCTTGAGAGTGGGAGGCAGGTTTTTTTGTTTGTTTTTTTTGTTTTTTTTGGTTTTTTTTTGTTGGTTTGTTGTTTTTTGTTTTATTTTGGTTGGTTTGGGTTTTTTTGTTTTTTTTTTTTAATGCCACCCCCCCCCAACACATACTGCAAAAATCATGAAGGGTAGAAAGAGCCTTTTTACTCTTTTCAGATAGTCTTTAACTTTTCTCTAGGCTATGCCTCAATGTTTCTCCCTATTTTTAGTTTCTAATCTGAAACTATAAAGATACATAAACTAATCATGACTACATTGCTTTCTACGATTATGCCAAACGCCCAAGCTTGGCATTTGAAATCTCGCTAGCAGTGCCTGCAAGAGCATCGAGTGTAAACTGTACGCCACACAGAAGTAACAAATTCACTCTTACACTAGTCTCTGGATCCTTTTCTTTCTGCTGTTGTTGCTCTTCGTTTTCCCCATCCTCTGTCTCCTCCTCTTCATCTTCAGAGACAACGGAGTTGGAAACTATGACAGGCGTCCAACGCAGACATTCTGCATCCACATCTATAGGTCGGACATTAGTTCTAAGCTTTGCCATGTGTTCCTGGATAAGTTTCTCCCGACGAATGATCACAAATCTAAACAGTAACAATACTCTGATCAACAACGGGCTACATATGGCACATGTTGTCATGTGAAACATAAGATATTGCAGAAGAATCTGTGTACTCTCAGTGCTGCCATAAATAACTTCAGAGAGGACAAGAAAGCTCATCAAAATTGTACAATTTGCAGTACCATCAGAGAAAGCATCTTAAAACTGAGAAAATGGTGTTAAATTCTTTCAAGTTCTTGTTAATGATGAAGCCATTATCCTTCCCTGGGTAGCGTTCAGCTGCTGAGTATCACTTTTATTATGTGTTAAATGGACAAGGGATATGACATTTGGGGAACAGGCAACCTAAGGTAAAAGATACTGAATGGTAATAAAAGGACTGCTTTAAAAAGTTACAGTCTCATTAACAGAGTGGATTTTATTCAGAGGGCTGGGAATAATATCACTGATTAAAGTATACTGTGAAATGAAGACATAAAACTGTTCGCAAATAACTTCAAGTTTTCCAAATAAGCTCCAAGTTTAACATAAAACACAACAGAATACTACCCCACTCTCCAAACTGCCATGCTCTGATTCAAGAATAATTCCCCGTATTTCACTTGACTTGCACTCCCAGCTGGGCAAGCAGACAACCTCTATACTGTATCCACACACCTCATTTCCCTCAGTGATCTATGCCACTGTTCAAGCATCCCATGTTAATTCACACAGTTCATGGTATCTTTGAGGCACAGAGAAAAGGGGGGAAACAACTGTCGACTCATTGACTGGAAAAAGGAACATATTTCCCTCTAGGGAAGGGAAGTTATTGTTCTTTGCTCAGTTTTGTGAGTACGTTAGACTGATTATACTGAGGGACCCCAAGAGAACATGGCCAAGAGACCAGCTTGCTTTCTCTCACAGCTGCAAATTACTCAGAAGTGCCACAGCTGCAGAGCTACACAGCTGGAAGTCTGACCCAGCTTTGGCACTGAACAATTCTTGCATCGCACGTGAGCATCATAAGTCTCTACAGCCAGTATTTGGACACTTATGTGTCTTAAATAAAATCAAGCTTATTAGATGTGACTTTTCTCCAAACACTTAAATTTCATTCAAATACATCTGAAGCTATTTGGAAATAGAACATGACTCCTGTACTCACTGATCACCACGGAAGTCAAGCATTCGTAGGTGATGTAGAGTGGAAGTGATATCTTGAGGGCAGATTCCAGTCAGCTTACTCAATTTCTTGATGCTTAATTGCTTGTCATGTTGATGATAAAGGCACTCCAATATTACACTTTTCCAATAAGCCATATATGAGAGGCGCCCCAGGTCTGACAGGGGCTTCTCTGGAGATCCTGCTTGACCCTCACGCTTTGAAAGCAAATAGCCTAAAGATACACAAGAAAAAATTTTCAAAAAATTAGCATGTGTGTCTTCTGTTTCCACCTCAACGTCTATAAAGGCATTTTCCCAGAAAATAGCTGAATACTGCCTACAATATATAGATTACAATTTTGAAGGGTACACTGAGTGGTCAGGCCGATTTTTTTTTTTTTTCCTCCGGTTTAAACACCTGTTACTCAATGATAGAGTAGGAGATTTCTAAACTACACTGCCATCAGACATTGGCTATGGGCAATGCCACGAGATGGCAGCAGTTGCCTACGTAGAAACTACACTAAGCCTGAAGTACACAGTCTGCTAAGTATCTTCCAACTGCAATAGCAATTTTGAAGATGACAGAAGGAAAACATGTTTTAGCCATTTACAACTCATATGGCAAACTATTTTCTTGAAAATTCTCTACTGTCAAATTTCAGTGCCATACTGGTGAGTACCAAGCTCTGTCTGCAGAGACTTAATTAATTTAAGACACTGCACAGGTTCAATAATGACCAAGAGGTTACATCTTCCCCAGTATGGCAAAGGAGGGAGGGGGAACCAGATGACAAATGTGTCTTCTCATTGCTGCTCTAAAATAGCCCACATTTATTGATTTCTCAAGATACGCCATTGACTTGCTTTGGTTCACCAGTATTTTCAGGACAACAACAGCTTATCAGCAAAACTTATATTTACCAGCAAAAGCATTCTAATCTAATTATACTAATAGGGTTCTTCCTCCAGACATTAGCTCCAAAATTAGCATGTCCACAGGGAGGGCTACATTAGCTTGCACTCAGCATAGTACGAGAGATATAGTTACAGTGGCAAGTTTCCCTGTGAACTCGCTGAGATCCGTGTATGAATCTGAGAATTGCTCAAGTACTCAGAGCCTAAGTATGTCTGGTTTTGTTGCTCTCAAAGCTAAATTAAAACATAACTATGACTCCCTTTTGCTTAAGACACTCATTCACCTACTCAAGCTGCTAAAGGTTTCAACAGACCATGCAGTTTTAGGGTTGGCTTTCTGTAGAAAGAACTACACGCACAAGGTAAGCTTTGCTAAAAACACTATACTGACACATGCCTATAGTTTCCACTGTAAGTTGCTTACACAGGAAACATGTGAATTAGGGGGAAAATGATCAATTTGTCCTTAGAATTGAAGCCTTCCAACAATAAGAGTAAATTGTGAAGTTCAGATGATTTTGTGGGCTTTAGAATCCTTTGTGCCAAGATGGTTTTTAATTTGAAAAATATCTTCTTCCACAGTTAAGCCTGTCTTTAAAATACAAAAAGACAAAGACTAAAAAAAGTGAAGAAAAAGTTCCTTACTGAAGTCAATTAGGAACCTGCCATAGCCCTTACGCTGGTATTGTGGAAGAATCATTATACAGGAAACATTGTACTTCTGTTGGCAGTGTTTTTCCTGTTGGGAAAAAAGCAGCAAATTAAAAAAAAAAAAAAAAAAGACCAGTGAGAAATAGTAGAAGTTGTTCTGTACAAGTCCCTGATTATTTCTATAGCAAAAACTGGGATAGAAAGCCACAGTCAAAGTTTCTTAGGAACAACGTATATGAGACAAGAAAAGACTAAACGGGAGAACAATATTAAAACTCTATTACCATAATTTCAGATCAGAAAAACAAAAAGAATGAAACCTTGATATAACTTCCTTCTGCTTAGATACAATACAGTAAAGAACATGGGCTGCAGAGCAGATAATGTTCAAAGCATAAACCTGAAGGCAGATAAATTCACTGAAAAAGATTGCAGTATTCCAGTGAATCTTCAAACATTATAACCATAACATACTGAAATCCATTCTCAAATCAGCTGTTCTGAAGACTGAAATGAAACGGTTCGATGAAAGCTATTTTTAAATAAGTAAAATGACTACAGATAAAAATCTTAAGAAAAGGCCTATCTGAAATCTTGGCCCTATTCCGTCAAAAAAATAAAAGGTTTGAAATGAGGTGCAAAATTGCCAAGCTTGTTTGGAAAACAATGTATTTACTGAAGGAAAGATGAGATAGAACTACTTGGTAATAATGTTTATCTTGCAAACAGTACTACCCATCACCACCAAGAGGACAAAGTCATTTGTAGAGTTGGGGGTTTTTTGGCTACTAGCTGGAGTACAAGTTCCTTAGAGAATATATGCTATTCGACATTATGAGGAAACGAGGTTTTATTAGTTGGTGTAGCTGGTGGTCTCCGAATGTGACATAAATAAAATCTGGTTGTAACAGATGGCTATACCTGTATTACGTAATGTATTATATAAAATGCAAGGGCCTAAATTACAACAATTTAAAGACTCTGAAGCAGCATTTCTCACCATAGCAAATGCAGTTCCAAGTCTGAAGTACTCAAATACTTGCCTTGGAAAAGTAGCCAACAAGGTGACAGCCCTTGACATCATTCTGTGTCAGCACGTAGAAAAGAAATGGCTCCACATCGTAATAGAGTGTCTTATGGTCCAGGAAGAGTTTGGCTAACAAGCACAAATTCTGGCAGTAGATAGTGCTGACATTGCCATCAACCTTAGAGAAATCAGGAAAAGTTTTGTCACTTCATTTGCTGTCATGCAAGGACATGCTTCATCCGGGTATCCCTGTATGTTTGAAATGCCTGACATGAGAAGATGACTTCTCTGTCACACGTAGTGTTTCAAACGACTTCCACAGCATAAAGGCCATGGCAAAGTCACTGTTACATTCATTAGCTTAAGAGAGAACTTAAAATTAATTTTCCTAAATGAAAAAGCATCTTTAGAAAGCGAGCATTCTCATATGTTTTATGGATGAATAATCTATACATGAGGTCAGCTCCCACTGCTTGCTTGTAGTTCTTCACTCTTAGCAACTGAATGCTTGAAGAATGAAGATCTTTAGGGCTATGAAAAACTTATCACACGATTGGGTGCTAAAGACCCTATTTTTTATATAAAAGTGAGCAGCTTAGTTTTCTAACTTACCTCAAAGACTGAAATATTGTTTTTTCTGTAAATTTCATTGGCTGGAGGATGAAACCAGCCACATTTTTTCATATGCTGTTGGAGAATAGTTCGGCTTTTCATATACTTTAGACAGAATTCACAAAGGTACAACTTGGGTAGCCTGTAAGCAAAGATAAAGAAAGGTCAAAGACTGAAGATGCAGACTTTTGTATAACATTCCTCACTCCTGCAGATACAGAACTTGATGAAAACAAACCCAGTATATACTGACCTTGTGCATGTGCTAATCAGGCCCAAACCACCTTACCATACTTAAAGTCATGGCACTTAGTTATTCTATAACAAATGCATATTTAAAAAAAAAAAAATTACTTAATGCTCTGCATAATTACTTTAAATTATTAAATTATGTCAGAAGAAATATATCCATCGATTACAATACTAGGAAAAAATTGCAACCCCCCCCCCCCCCCCCCAGTTTTGCACTAGTGACACTAGGAGGGATTGGATCAATAGTTCCTATTCTCTCCCTTCCCTCCTTGTAACAGACAGCTGTATGTACCCCTGAGCAACGGGTCACAATACCATCTATCTGTTTGCTTTAAAAGCATTGTACACACTACACTGACACGAACAATTTAGATCACAACAATATTGGGACACTTGCACTCAACTCCATTTACATACTCTAGCTTGGGCAGGGATGCTCTTTTCAGTCACCTTCAATGCCTCTAGCAGAGCTAGAATAATTCCTCATGACAGGCCACATTGTAGAATAAAGAGTTTTATTTAATTTTCTCTCTAGCTATGGCCCTTACAAGTTATTTTTCTTTCTGAATCAAGTTTAAGTTCAGAGTGATTGCAGTTTAGACAGTTTGCAAAGTTCTTAAGCAAGAGAACATCAAAACAAATACACGTGCATCACAGCAGAACAATCTTTCAGATGCCAAAATGTGTAACATTAAACATTTCTTCTTTAGCTGTGTTGAACTACATACAGCATAAATATAATACATCAAAGTAATTCCTGTAGAATTTCTATTTATTTTTCTCTTTCAACTCCCATAGATATTGTACAGCCATTTCTAATAAAATAATTTAATACACAGTTAACATCCTATTCCTTAAACAAATTCATTATTTTTTTATCATGAGGAGTGCTGCAGTTGGTTCACTGGAGGGAAGGGATGGCATCCACAGCAACCCTGACAGGTGAGAGGAGTGGGCCCATGCGAACCTTGTGAAGTTCAACAAGACAAAGTGTAAGGTCCTGCACCTGGGTCGAGGCAATGCCCAGTATCAATACTGGCTGGGGGATGAATGGATTGAGAGCAACCCTGTGGAGAATGACTTGGGAGATACTGGTGGATGAAAAATTGGACACGAGCCAGCAATGTATGCTTGCAGCCCAGAAAGCCAATCATATCCTGTGCTGCATCCAAAGAAGCGTGGCCAGCAGGTCGAGGGAGGTGATTCTTCCCCTCTACTCCACTCTTTTAAGGCCCTACTTGGAGTACTGCATCCAACTCCAGGGTCCTCAGTGCAAGCCACTGACCTGTTAGAGCGAGTCCAGAGGAGGGCCACAGAAGTGATCCAAGGGCCGAAACACCTCTCCTATAATGAAAGGCTGAGAGAGCTGGGGTTGCTCAGCCTGGAGAAGAGAAGTCTCTGGGGAGACCTTACTACGGCCTTTCAGTATATAAAGAGGGCTTATAAGCCTGTAGCAATGGGACAAGCAGCAATGGTTTTAAACTGAAAGAGGGTAGACTTAGATTGGACAGAAGGAAGATGTTTTTTACAATAAGGGTGGTCAGACACTGGAACAGGTTGCCCAGAGAAACTGCAGATGCCCCATCATTGGAAGTGTTCAAGGTCAGGCTAGACTGGGTTATGAGCAACCTGATCTAGAGAAAGATGTCCCTGCCCACAGCAGGAGGGTTGGACTAGCTGGTCTTTAAAGGTCTGTTCCAACCCAAAGCATTTTGTGATACCACATGTAAAGAACCAATGTACTCTGAGAGTCGGATACTCTAATCACTTACATGCTTAATAACAGCCCAGTACCAGGTCATTTAGCTGAGGCTGCTCCCTTCTCAGAGCGTGGAATATGCCAGTTCTTTGGGAATCCATCTAATCATATATTCCTATGGCAGTTCGAATGCTCACAGCATATGCAGGTTGTTGCAGAGAGATTATCAACTTTTTGACTCAGCCTAAAAAGACCTTAAGACGTCTATTAACTACCAGGAAAAGTATCTGTACTTTGCTTCTGTCCTACATTCACATAGAATGTTTTTAAGATTTCTGTGCCTGCTGGAGCACAGCCTTCCCATAAACACTGAAGCAGAACAAAGGAGAAGAATGTTCAGTCATACCTTGAGTATTCCTGTGGATACGGGGAGGAGTACCAGGTCTGGATTTCATACTTGCCAAATTCAATGACAGAAGGGCATCGGACTTGTGGATCAGGAGGCCCAGTCACCCCTACTTTCTATGCAAGGGGAAAAAAAAAAGTTTTTGTGAATTTCCAAGTGAAAGATTTCCAGGCTGCAATAAATGAAAACATTCTTATCTATACAGTCCATCCTACTCGAACTCACAGAGAATTAGGAAGATGCAGATGTTGCTTTCTGACACTAAAACCCAGTACCAATCACACTTCATGTGATTCACAAAAAGGAAGAATTAATTAATAAGCATTGTCATACCACATACCTCCACTATCTTTCACACTGTTGCGTGTCGTAGTTTTAAATATAAACTAGAACACAGCAAAATTTAATACAATCTTTTTTTAGTTCTGTTGCTATTTCCCTTCTTGTATTTCAATAGCCAAGAACATAAACACATAAACTGCTCCTGAGGTTAAAATCTAGAATATTAACATATCTAACATAACACATCAGTGTCTTCCCAGCTCTGAGACTATATGTACTACTGTGAATGTAGTACCTATCAAAACAATATTCAGGGTACGGCTACCTGCTTATCATCATGAGTGCAGAAGACTAAAAGAAATACCTCAAATCATTTATTAGAAGAAAAAATTATAAAATATGGTATTTTTAAATTACTTCTACAACTTTAATTTCCCCTGTCTCTCTAATAGTAACTGTATATTTTATGGGAACTAAAAAAATAAGGGAACTAAATGCTCTGCTTTCAAAGAAAACAAATGTTTTGTCACTTCATCAAGATTTTCTCTCAAAGGACTGTCACTTGCACAATTAGAAATCCAAAAATTCACACTCGCCTGGCATTAGCATATGAACCACTTGGACTGCAAAGCTATTAATAAGTGAGACCATGTTTCATGCAGGAGGTCAGAAGCTACTGTGAAGAGTACCAGTGAATTACCTGCATGAAAATCTATGCTAGCAGAATGAAACAGCTATACCCAGGACAATGGTTTGGCATTTGAAAGGCTAACATTCAAAACTAACAGTTTTTAAGTTTCCTAAGTGGGACTGGTATAGACAGAAGACACCTCAGAATCTAATCCTAGGCACACACATTTTAAGCAGCTCTATCTAGGTGAAAAAGGACAGTAATCTCCTATGAAAATACTTAACCCAAGAGCTCCAAATAGAGCCATCAGTAACTGATTAATGTTTCCTTCTATTCTTATTCAGAAGATACGCCGAATATTTCAGCAGGCAGCCTAATAAGGTCTTAGAGCTTACTACTTGCATATGATCCACAACCACTTAATTATTTTTTTTTCCCCATCAGTTTATGGATTTATTTCTTAGGCTTCCCCTTTCCTCTTAGGCTACCTACTAGGACGGAAGCTAGGTAAGAGAGTCAAGTTATCTTACCTCAGCACAAAAGCTAGATTTAGGAAGAACAAAATCCCTAGCATTTAAGAAAAAGAATTAAGAAAATACTATTAAACATGCACAATCTCAGGTGCTAAAAGCTTTTGCTATTTATGAGGATTCTACGAGGAAAAGAACGCATAACCTCTGCATTTTTGGTAACTGATACGAGGTTGCATACAACACAAGAATTCCACTCCCTGGCAGAACAAATCACCGAAAGAGCAATTTATGAAGGCAGCTCTTTATAACTATGATAATCTGTAGTTAAGTACTTCCTGCACTGTAGTTTCAAAGGAATTGCCATTATTGCCCAGTACAATAGGTGAATAATAAACACAATTATCACAGGCATCTGACAAATCTTAAGGAAAAGAGAGTAATATCCACCTGCAACACTGAGTCCTGCACCCGTGCCTTCTTTTCAGCAACAAACCCCTCCTCTGGATGAATGCTCACGTTACGTGTAGAGACCCAGCTCCCATACAGCAGTTTACACAACACAGTCACGAGAAGAAAGCCTTCAGTAGCAGACTACTACTTCAGCCTCTATGCTAGCTGCAGATAGCTCTAATGACTTTCTTCTGGAACACTTAATATGCAATATCTTCTCATCTCACTCAAAAGCCTTTGACACGTCACTCTGTATTTCCATTTTCTTTGGTGAGGTAGCTCAGTGTACAAGCAGCAGGGTCCCTGTATCAGCTGCATCACAACTCTGGTCAACACCTTCCTCACCAAAACCAATCACCTAGCCACCTTAAATTTAAAGTATTTAATCTGCAACAAGTATTTTCCCCACACAGGGGAAAAAAAACCAAAGCAAAAAACCCCCACTCTCTCCAAAACTTGCTCATTTTCCTAAGCAGATGCTTGGAGATTAATAGTTTCTCTAGTCTGGATATATTTCCACAGATTTAATTTCAGATCTTCAGTTATTTTTCTAAAACATAATTATGGTCACAAGCCATAGTCTCATGTGCAATTTACTCGCTGCACACACTGAGTTTTTTTAAAGTCAATCCTGTAACAAAGTTTGAATATACAGTAGTGCCATATTTGCACCTCAATAGAAGAGTGCGCCTTAGTCTGCTTTATCACACACATAGCGTAGTTCAGTCTTAACACAATTCATTGTTCATTAACTCTTTTGGTACAGAGACTGTATTTGGTATAGTGGAATTAAACCAGCCTATGACAGAATCGTAGGTAAATAAACAGAAGTCAAATACCTGGAGAAGTTTAAAAGGACAGTACACTTAGTGAAGCACTGTTCAGGGAAGTCACTGCATAAAGTCAATTGATCTCTTTAGCTTCAGAAGGAGTTAAGTCGTAAGACCATTCAAGTTATTGAAATGTACAGGTAGAGATACACACACGACACACGTGAGAATATGCACATGTATGTGCATACAGACAGACAGTAATGCTTTATCCTGCTCCGTAAGAACTTACAGTATCTAGAAAAAGAATGGTTTAATTAGCCAGAGGCCCTATGTGACCCATGTTGCTAGCACAGTCCACTGTTATTGTTTTAACAGTCCACACATTTTACCAGCTATTTAACAGCTCTAAAGACACAACTAAAGCCACAGCCCTCAAGGCTTTGTAGATGCCCACCTTAACCTCCTTTGGCTCTTACGCTCACTTTTATATTATCCCTCAGCTGCCTTGAGGCGAGTTCCCCATTACTCTCAAGCAGGAGAAACCAAGCACATTAGCTTCTATGACAGACGGACTCATCTGGAGTCTATTTCTTGATGTTTTTTGTTGCTGGGTTGGGGTGGGTTTGGGGGGGCTTGTTTAAATTTTTTTTTTGTTTGTGTTGTGTTTGTTTTGTTTTTTTTTTTTTTAAAACAGATTTGGTACTTACTGCCAGACACTGAACATGTGACCTTACCTGCAGGGCTTGTTCCTGAATATCCCTAAACAATTCCATGTCTTTTTCAGTTAAGACATCCTGGCTCCCAAAAAAACGCTCCTCATTTTCCTGTTTTCCATCCCAGCCATCCTGATTGTCTGTAAATGAGAGAAAAAATTGTCTTCACCTACATTTTCAAAGGGGTACTTGCTTTTTAGTGCAGCAACAAACATCTTCTGGCTGTATTCAGACACTGTGGTGATGTTTTTGATGGGATTTTCTATTCAGATTTGGGACCACAACGCAAGAACCAGTTCTGGATTTGTGACCACGTAAGCGATATTGTCATATATTTAACCATGTCCAAAACTCACTACATAGATATTCATAGTATCATGAAGGCATTTGTAACGAGACAGCTTTGGATAAATTGCTTACCACTATGCCCATTTCTCACAAACAAGGATCACAACTATTTAAATGCCGTATCTGGCACACCAAAAGCAGGACACTTACGTTCATCACCCAAGAAACACCTCTTCCACAAAAAAAGGCAAACAAAACCCACGAGACACTTCACCTCACCTCCAAAGCATTAAGATACATTATTTTTCTTCCAGCACCAGTCAGGCTAATGCACATAACTATTCTAAAGCTGTAAACCTGGTACGTTATTGGGGGATATTTTCCACTGCTTGCTTGTTATTCAAGCTCTGAAACTATTCAGCAAGACTGTAAAGATTTGAATACAGAGATTAAATCAAGGTCCAGTCAGAGATTAATGTCTTAAGCTAGAAAAGAAAACAAGGAAAGCAGAACTGTGTTTAAAAGAAGGCATGCTCTTCAGCAAGAAGGTGCAAAACCGCATGAAGCAGGCTCCTCTATGGCTGAGGAAATTAAAAAATATTTGCATGCAAGCCCAAACCATAGATTGGAAACTCCTGGCTCTGTCAGACTGGTTTTAATTATCTGTTTCCCATTTCATACTTCCACCTTGCTGTTCTTATTTTCATTAACCACTCCTTACGTTACTTCTTTCAAATGTAACATTACTTAGCATATTTCCTAGGGCTATCCGCAAGCCTCTCATTACCAAAGGGCATTTTACCTCACAGTAGTAATTTAATTCCTCATCATACCTTGCCATCATAGATAAAGAGGCAAAGGTCTCTAGGATTGCTGCCTTCTTCCTTTTTTTTGAGGTATTCTACTTCAATGCACTGCATTTAAGTGTTAACTTTCAGCTCAAATTTTCCAGCCTCTAACAATTCTAGTCAATTGAACATCCTAGCCTTTGAATATTTTCTTGGTGTACAGGATACTTACATTGGCAGGGTGAAAAATCTTTACCTGTGGGCCATTCTGAAGTGCTAGATTTCCTGGTACCCTTTTTCCTGATCCTATACTGCTGAGAATAGTCTACCACTTCCCCTCGAGCTTTTCGTCCATCAGGGGAGGGAGTGAAGAATTTAGTAAGGCCATCTATAAGCCCTTTGGTTTTCTTGTTAAACTTCAAGGTGGTGCTGCCATCTCTGCAGAAGTCCAAGACATCTGTCTGCTCCAGGTATCCTTCTGATGATGCTGACTGGCTGGACAGAGCGATCTTACGCTTCCGACCCCGACCAGGGCCAGTTCGAACTTTGCTGAAAGGGCCTTTTGATCTAAAGAACGAAAAGGGGAAAGATACAGTCAGAAGATTTGGTAAGGTGATTTGCTTTGAGTTGCAGAGTGGACTGCCCTCTTCTCTACTGATTTATCAATCACACAGAACCTAAATATGAACTGAAAAACTTAAAGTAGTCGTCAAGTGCCTGTGTACTTTAGACGAGCCAGGATTCTAAACATCTCAGTAGAAGTACTGTACTATTTTTCTCCACACTGAACGTTATGTGCAATTAATTTGGGTATAAACAATAGATTTTCACCAAACTTAATACAATATTAAATTTAAAAATCATTAGCCAGAATGAATACATTGCACAGAACGTTTCAATTTATGCAGTCATTAAACATTTACACTTGTCATTTGTCAAAGTTTTCATACCGATAGGAAATTGTCGTAAGAACAACACAGGAAGTTAACGCATGCACAACACACACATTAGCTAAGAACATATACCACTGATGGTCATCTTCGCTGAAAACAGTGTTGATCGCCAATCAGCTGCCATCTTTCAGGCTAGACATTTTAAAACTCTATTGAGATAACCAAGTATTTAACACTTCTCAGAAAAATTGCCCTAGACTGACTGCTGTTTCAGGAAGCTGACTGTTTTTAGCGACAATCTTTGCAGCTACAGAGGCTAGAAATAGGCTGCTTTTTCCTAAAAAGACAAACTAAGCAACTGTGCATAATTCTGTGGATATATTTTGCAAGTGAAATGATTGAACAAAGGCAAAAAAAATTATGAATGAATCATGAAATAAAAATTAAGAGATGAAACAGCAATAGCAGATAGCTAGCTTTCCTTTTGCAAAGGTATCACACAGACTGAAAAAAATTGACATTCCCTCTACGCTTTTATAAGCATTAAACTCAGGAAGGTTTTTTCGCAGAAGGTCCTTTGGTACTATTGGTTAGAATTAAGTGGTAGTTCAACTTTTTTTTTTAAGCTGATCTGATGCCTAAACCAGAAATTCTTGCGACATGCTCCTTCATTGCTTTGTTCCCTGCACAGTCAACAGTGCTGCATCACAACAAGCACGGCACAGCAATCTTAATTCAAGGAAATTGCTCTGGCTGAACAGTTATCCAAAGAATTCCCGCCCACCCAAATCCAATTCCCTGATGACTGGCTGTCCCACAACAACCATGACAAGGCCACACAAATGTCTGTCCCAGCACAACAGAGTGCTCCACAAATGCACAAACATGTGGAATGGAAGCAGAAAGGGGCCAAATATTTTCTGGCAGCAGTGTCAGATTAAATGTATGTCAAACAACCACCTCATATACTTTATTGTAGATTACTTAAGTTTCTGCAAACATCAGAAAGGGTTCTTGAGAAAAGCAAAGCAAAACAATTATGTTGGAAGAAGCAGCCATCCAGCAAAACAGACTTGACATGAACAGCAAAATTAATCTGTGACTATAAGGAATAGTTCGAAACTAAACAGTAAGTTACTACAGAGAGGCAAAAATCTAGGCAAAAAGAAGCCCTGAGATTACTTCTAGTCTTTTACAGCACTCTTCACAAATTCTGTTCTAAAGAATAATGAAAAGCTCTTCTTTGTAAAAGAAATCTTCTCACAGAGTAAACCAGACACTTCAGAAACACCCACTGCCCTACAGAATCTCCCACCTTATTCCTCCTTAAAGAGACACTTACGTTGTATTTTGATTCTTTAACCTGTTTTTGGGACGTCCTATTGGGTTAGCATAGCGTCGTTTTATCTGTGCTGCCTTCTTGTGTAAAAGTTTTCTTCCTTTCTTCCGTGGCCGACATATTTGACATATCCACATACCTGTAAGACACAAGTCCCCATCACTGAATGCAAGGGACATCTATATAGGACAAAAAGGAGAATTACAGGCCCCAGGCCTTCTAACACAAAGCATAGGAACAGTACCAATGGCCCCAATTATCACATATACATGTAAGAAAAATTATGTGTATGTTCCAGCAATCTAAACTCAAGCCCAGTTAATATCCCACCTGCCCCCTACTCCCCCAATATACTTCCCACAGCCATGCAGGAAGTCTCTTTAATTCATAGCACAGCATCTGAAAACCACAGAAAAGTAACACATTTTATTATCTCTCATTCCGCTTATGACTACACTACTTCCAACTATCTTCTAAAGGAAAATTTTCTTCTAACTGCCAAGGAAGAATCTTCCATAGCTAACCTGCTTTCTGATGGAGAAAGACAACTTTGGTTGTACTCCAAGACTCTCTACTGTCCAAATGGATATAACTTCAGAAACTTAGAAGCCCATCTCCTCCTTTTGTACAAGTCTATTCATTCAAATGGAAGCTAATAATTTTAATCTGCAAGGATCACTTCTATTCCCTCAAACATCAAAGGTTTTTTTCAAAACCCTTCACGGACAGTAATGTACGGGAAGCAGGAGACAGTGCAAAATTTGGATGTGAAGCTCTGATTCTTCTCTGGTTTCTAATACCTGAAAAGCAGTGCTGTAAAGAACAAGTTAAATGTAGCTAAAAGACGACCTAATATGTGGAAGCACTTTCAACCCACTGATCTCTTCCAACACCATCTTAAACTGCCCTTTTCATCACAAAGTCCTCACCTTTTGGCATCCTGGTAAGAGGGGGGTCACAGCACTCCATGTGAAAGCCACGGTCACATGAGTCACAAAATAGCATGTTATCCTGTTGATGACAGATAAGTTAATCCCTCTTTAGATGTGCACCAGCATCAAGCCCTCCGTTAATTTGTCACCATCTCAGAGAACATGCACATAGTTTTCAACTACAGACATGGTATTTCACGTGTCTCAGACTACCAGACTCAAACAAAAGCTGCAAATACTTGACTCTAAAATGATTTTATTTTGTAGTTTAACAGAACATCCACAAGACCGATATCCTCTTCATTCAGTCCATATTCCACTGTACTCACAGCATTTTTGCCCTGATCTCGACAGGAACTGCACGTTTTGCACTCAATACACTGCCATCGCAAGGCTTTCACTCGAATTGTCAACTCTGGAGAGAACTTCAAACAGGACGGATGACCTACAGAAAAAAAAGAGAAAGCTATACCAGTAAAACCATTCCACTGCTGTTAATGCTCACAGAGAGATTACTTTACCAATTACATATTCCCAGGCAGAATTGTGCTTCTATTCTTATCTACTTATAGCACCAATACAATACCTTAGATAGCAAGTGGCAGGCCCACATACAAAAGAACACCAAGATAATTTTTCATAACTGAATTGAGATAAATGATAAAACTGGTCATCACTACAACACTTTTAAAGAAACCTCCAGGAGCCATTTGTGTTAGGTTAACTTAACTGTCTCCCCTCTGGGAGCATGAGATTGAGCTGAACTAACTGTATTATATGCCATAGATGCATATTCCCCATACGTATGGGTCAGTAGCAGTCACTATACCAAGCTCTTCTGTCTCAAGTGGATGGGTTATTACTAGCAGCACTGTGAACGGTCACCTACCACTGTTGCCACAGTCAGCACAAGAGATGAGCTCTTCAGGTTTCTTCTCTCGATTTTGCTCTTTTGTACCAAGGCAGAAACTGCAGATTGGAATTGGTTCAGCAACCGGCTGTGAGGAAAACAGACAATAAAAGCACTAAGTATATGAGGGGAGCAAATCACAATACACAAAATCACACAGGCATTTATAGCACATGTAAATAGTATGCAATATAAATCATGTCTCTCAGATTTTAATTGGTTCTCACCACAGAATATTGCATTAACTGTAACCTGAATAGAAGTTAGAACTCCAAAGACAAAAGACATACTCCCAGGTACAAAGGAAAAGAGAATGGAATTCCAGAGCTAGGGGAAACTTGGAAAAATCAAGCTGGGAAAGAGGGATATAAATTAATAGATAACTGAAAAAAAAAAAAGTTAGAGAGAGTTGGTGCCTTAATTTGTCATTCAATTGAATGAGCTGCGAGGTGATGCAGTGGTGGAAAAAGGCACAGATGACCCCAGAGTACAGTAGCCTTAGAAATTCCCACCAGCTATCCAGAAAGTGGTACTGCAATCGTCAAAAGCATTTGCAATACTTTACCTGGAAAAAAACATATTATAGGACAAGTACAACAACTGTACAACTATTAACACGGCTATGAAAAATGAAAAATAAATTATCTTGTAAGAAGTTATGTGAGTATGCTGTTAGCACTCAAAAGCAACAGACAAAAAGATCTGCTCTCTCTAAAAAGGTTCAGGGCGTTAAACATTATGCAGAGAAAAAGATGTATTTAAGATGAGGTACAACACTAGCAAAATAAAAAATAGATATTAACTAGCTAAGAATATGTTTGGCCTGGAATAAGCAGGAGGTTTTGAAACCAAGGGACTGACATTCTACAACGGCCTCCTCAAAGAAACAACAAGTGCAATAACTGGTTGTTTTAAAGTGACACTTGATCAACTAACAAGAAGGAAAGGATAGCCTTATCTCCAGTAACATTAGGTGCTGGATTTCATAATCTAGCAAATTCTTTCTAATCCAATTCTGTATTTTCCAAGACAAGCCTGTGATTTATAGTTTTCAGAGCAAAGATACAAGCAAAATTTAATTCAAAAAATACAATAAAAATATGCTAAAAATCACATTTTAAACACTGGAAACATTAAAAATGTCAGATTATGGTAAGTTTTGAGACACATTCTTTGTATAGCTGTATCACGTTACAGTTAATGATTTTACACATACCTTTTTCAGAGTATATTATGCAGCTACACAAGCACATACTGTTAATTATTGTATGGAAGCATATGCCAGAAGAACTTCAAGGAACCTTTACTCTGGCTAAGCCAAAGCAAAAGCTATGTGCAGAATAGTTTCTTGCAGAAATCAGGTTGGTTTATATTACAGTATCATAGAAACTGAAAGTTTCAAGCTATATCTTTGCTTCGGTATACAGATTCAGTATACTTACAGACGGAGGTGTGTTCCTTAAGACAGGCACTAGACGGAAGCGATCAGAACACCTTATGAAGTCTGCTATTTCAGTATTAAGCCACACAATGTGGAATGACTACTTGGGAATGAAAGCCTAACATTCCTCATCCTGAACACAAGTATTTATCTTAGCCTTTGAGTAAATCCCAGATGATGTTGAAGCATAAACTAATATGAAATCACCTGCCCAAACTATTTCAGTGTGAAACACATTCATAGGTTTAATTAATTGAAGGATTCCAGTGTCTGCTACTTTTGAAAAAGGGAGAAAACAAAACAACTATAGATAGTTACACAAAGCATATTAATCATAGAACGGTTTGGGTTAGAAGGGACCTTTATTGGTAATATCCAAGCTGGAAGAGGAAACAAGCACCTTCGCTGCCACAGGAAGTCATGAAGTATCTTTCCAGCCAAGGTCACCACAGTAATGTTGGCTAAAATCAGCTATGTAGGGATCCCCCGTCCTCTTTTAACAGAGAGGGGACTGGCTGTACACAAATTGTTCATGACTGGACTAGGTGCCAGACAGATAGCGGCTTCCAGCCAGTATAAGGTTTAATGGAGGGGAAAACTGTATTAGGGGTCTGTCAGCGCTTTAATTTATTTGGCATCAAGATTTCAGGAATTACTTTTACCCTCTACCTTCTGAGAAACATTCGCTTCTCTTTTCACCTTCAGTCTCGTCTTCCCGAGGAATACTTACTACCTCTTGGAACAAGTTACTATTAACTAACCTTCACCTTTCCCATGAGAATAATAACTGGTTCTCTTTTTGCTATTTTACTCACATTTCAGTACTACACAAAGTAGATAAGCACCGTTATTCCCATTTTCGGATAAGGAAATGCTCAGAGAAAATTCCTTGAGTAATACCAACACGCAGATCAGCATGAGAACTAAAGAACGCAGCAATCCCTGCCTCAGCACCTGCTAGTCCCCCCTGAAAGAAATGCAATGATCTCGATCCACCACAAAGTTGCAGTAAAAAGGTTTAGAATCCTTTAGAATCCAATTTGGCATGTTCATTCATCCTTTATACTTGGTCATAGGTTAGCTCAGACAGTTAAAAAAAAAAAACCAAAACAGAACAGGAAAAAGAAATTTACCAAACTCTTCAGCTTCTTTTAAATAAAGCAAATTGTAACTTACAATATTACAAGTGTGGTTTTGCCAGAAATGGACTCAGTGAACATAATTTCACATCCCAGAATCATTCATTTTCCTCTCATTTCAGTCTGAGGTTATGATAAAGTTTCATAGAGAATCTCAACTACCTTGTACCAGTCTTTCAGACAGAAGGGAAAAAGGAACATTTATACTTTCTAATAGTTAAACTTTAATGCGCCTGAACAATCGACAGCATCGATTTCCCTGCATGTACGGCTAAATCTGATGTTCTGACACAAACAGTTTACTGATTTACAACTCATAGTTAAGAGCTGATGTGACATTAATGTTGCGTTATCAAATGCTGAGGTTTACATCTGGTATTTAAAAAAAGCGATGAAGCAGAAGAAGGGCTAAGAATGACAAGCAAGGTATGACAAAAACATTTATATTACTGTACACACTTCTGTTAGCTTTGAAGTTACCAATTCAAAGCAGAAACAATTAACTCAATGAAGACTGCCAAAAATACAAAAAGAAACCATGATCCAAAACTCCATCACTTCCTTGGTCTGAATACCGAATAATTTCAGTGATACTGTAACAGAACAGAACAAGCACAAAGTGTTTTTCTTAAGACAAAAGGGACAATATACGTTCAGAAGTGAAATCTGCACCAAATTTCAATCTAAATTGCTTACATATCTCAAAGAAACATTTATGGTTTTAGTTCGAAGGGCTGTAAAATGATGACTTAATTCAGAGACTTGACGTAAGCCTAAAATGCCCACTCTGCAAATCTGGATACATAAAATCAAACTGTTAAAAGCCAAGTACTCAGAAGTGCTGTCAACATACAGTCACAATTAAACAACCAGAAGAATTTCATTTCCCACTATATATGTAATCACAGTAGCACTTGGAGAGACTACTTATTCATGGAGAAGGGCTGTACCCCAACATCACACGGCAAAGAAACCAGGCAAATCATATTTGCGATCGCAGAGTGAGAATCGATGTTTTTACCACCCCTTACAGATTACATCAAGAATGCATTTGGCCTGACATCTGCAAGTGTAGTGAAATGGACTTAATTACACGGTCACACCTTATTAACTGTATCACTGAATTGCAATATAACCACAGATAAGATATTCAAACTTTTGGCACCACTTAAAGAACACATAAACACCATCTGGTAATTATGGGTTGGTTTGTTTTGGTTTGTTTTTTGAGAAATGAAGGAGAATAGCTTTCCTACTTCTGAAGGAGTCACACGCTACAGCCCCTAACAGCGTGATGTAGCCTGAAAAACTGAACCCCTTGCAAAGCATGAAGTATAAAAGGGGATCTCTTCCCTCTGGTCAACGCCACAGCAGACACCATGGAATGAAATGCGTCACGTGAAAGAACACAAGACGACTGCAAGATTTTTGCCAGCAGTATTAGGTGTACATGAAAGATACAGTAAGAATTAACAAATTATTATTGGGCAGCAAGTAAGAAAAATAAAGAGAACAGACCAACCTACAAGAAGGGGAAGGGTGAAATGAGTGGCAAAAGGCTCCTTCCAAGGAATAAATATTTCCTATCTATTTTTGCTTTATATGTTTAAATATTACAGAGAAATACATAAAGAATATGAAATAGAAATTAGATTCTTGAGACTACTATTAGGATTGTATGTCTAGCTCAAATATTCATGTAACAGAAAGATATGGAAATAATTTTCAAAGGACAAGCAAAATTATTTAAGAATAGACAACCTACAGAAATTAATATACTCAGGAATGACCGAGAAATTAATTGGACACTAAATCTAAGTATTTATACATGGAAGAAATATAAACATATTAACATGCTAATTTAGAGCAAACTTTCTGATGAAGCAATATCAGATGAACCAATTCCTGATGGTTAGACAGGCACAGTCTTAAAATAAACTATTATTTTCTGTATGCAAGTCAAGTAGTAAAGATAAAACAAGAGAAATCTATAGCCGGCAGATGTATAGGTAGTAAGCAGCTCTTCTAAATGTACTACGGTAAAGAATCCTAAGCACAGGTTTTCTTACAAAACATCGTAGAATTATTACTGAAAACATAAGAAAGGCAGAAATATTCCACAAATATTCGTTCTTTGTTTTGAGAAAAAGCTACCGAGGTAATCCTACCACATGATGCCAATGAGATGCCCTCCTTGGCAACCCTAAGTAGTTCCCATCTAAAAATCCCCCAAAGTTACAGTTCATATGCCCACAGCTGATGCTACTAACACGTCAAGCCTTCGTGATGCTTACTAAAGATCTTCCTAAGAAACAACGATTAACAGCTTAGATGCATTAAATACATCCTTTCTGCCAATACCTTCTTACCTAGTGGGAAACCTTATGGCACTGAACACTGTAGTCCTATATACTTATTAATCAAAGAATAATAGGACAGTAAAAGGAATTAAAAAATTGACTGCTTAAATGCATTTCAAAGAAATATTGTGCATTTGAAGCTATAGTA